ACAGATAGCCCATTGTGTAGCTTTGTGCTTAATTACAAACAAACAATCCATTTTACTGTTGTAATCCACTCTATTTAAGATCATAACCCCATTAACTTTATGCGGTTTAGTGAATACGATGTCCTTACAGTTTTTAGAGAATTTTCGATTTAAAATTACTGTTAAAAGAGCTTTAACCTGATTTTAATCACGTTAAATTTTGAAATCTTATTACGTCACTTCCAGTCTTTTAAGTTTTTAGTTAGGTGTAACCAAGCAGTTACAATGGTCTTATCGAGTAAAGTATGGTAGATAGATGTAAACAATGGTCTTATCGAGTAAAGTATGGTAGATAGATGTAAACAGTGGTCTTATCGAGTAAAGTATGGTAGATAGATGTAAACAGTGGTCTTATCGAGTAAAGTATGGTAGATAGATGTAAACAATGGTCTTATCGAGTAAAGTATGGTAGATAGATGTAAACAATGGTCTTATCGAGTAAAGTATGGTAGATAGATGTAAACAATGATCTTATCGAGTAAAGTATTGTAGACAGATGTAAACAATAGTCTTATCGAGTAAAGTATTGTGGACAGATGTAAACAATGGTCTTATAGAGTAAAGTATGGTAGATAGATGTAAACAATGGTCTTATAGAGTAAAGTATTGTAGACAGATGTAAACAGTGGTCTTATAGAGTAAAGTATGGTAGATAGATGTAAACAATGGTCTTATCGAGTAAAGTATGGTAGATAGATGTAAACAATGGTCTTATCGAGTAAAGTATGGTAGATAGATGTAAACAATGGTCTTATCGAGTAAAGTATGGTAGATAGATGCAAACAATGATCTTATCGAGTAAAGTATTGTAGACAGATGTAAACAATAGTCTTATCGAGTAAAGTATGGTAGACAGATGCAAACAATGGTCTTATAGAGTAAAGTATGGTAGACAGATGCAAACAATGGTCTTATAGAGTAAAGTATTGTGGACAGATGTAAACAATAGTCTTATAGAGTAAAGTATTGTAGACAGATGTAAACAATAGTATTATCGAGTAAAGTATGGTAGATAGACGTAAATAGTGGTCTTATCGAGATAGAAGAGAAATATAAATAAAGAGAACTTTATATCTTTGTTTAAAATCGTATTTTGAAGTAAATGGTGACTAGATACTACTTTAGTAACTCATATGTAAATGTAAAATTGCAATTTTAATACAGGATCTCTCCCTCAACTAGAGGCGAAGTGGTGTTTTTTGGATGTCAGGCCATAGAATAAGAAATTCGGGTAATCGTTTATGGAGGTTTTGTATACACCAGTTGCAAGTCATGAAGTTGCTGTTTCCAAATAGCCAATCCATTTGATAGTAACGTTTTTCTGTCGGGACTTATGAGCAGTCAAAGAGAGATAGGTGTTACGTATTACAATTTCAAATAGCCTAAAACTGAGTTAAATTGTAATTT